CTTACCAAAATAAGTCTTAACTCAAAAGAGATTATTTCTTCTCCTAGATCTAATGGGATCTTCATACTACAAGCTGAACCTCTAGTTGGGAACAGCTCTGCAGTTGTGAATACTCATGTTGATAAAACCTTGATTGGCATAAGAGACTAGGCCATATTAGTAAAAAGGGATTGATGATTTTGAAAAAACTGAAATGCTTTGGAAATGATAACATTGAAAATTTTAAATTTTGTGAAGACTGCGTTGTTGGAAAACAAAATAAATTGCCTTTCAAAACTGGAATTCACAAATCTACTTCTATTCTTGAAATTTACATGTCGACTTGTGTGGGCCTGCTTCTGTAAATACCTTAAGTGGCTTCAGATTTTACTTATTAATTGTGGATGATTTTTCAAGAAAATTTTGGTCATTTCTTTTGAAAAACAAATCTAATACTTTTCTAAACTTCAGGCAATGGAAACTTATGATTGAAAATCAGACTAATAAGAAGATAAAGGCAATCAGAACTGATAATGGTTTGAAATTCTATAATCATGAATTTGATTTTTTTCTAAAGAAACAATGCTGGAAAATCAAGTCTGCCTGTATTAAAGAAACAATACTGGAAAATCAAGAACAACGTCAAACTGAACCTGAAAATTTGATTGAGGTGGAGTCTACTCAATATGAATCTGATCAGTCTCTAAATGAATCTGAACCCGAGGGAAATTTTCAATATACTTCTTCGAAAAATTATCAATTAGCCAGGGATAGGGATAGAAGGAATGTAATATCTTCTACCAGAATTAACACTGATGAATTTGTTACTTTCTATTCTAAATTGGAATCTGTTAATTCTAAACCTGTGACATTTGAAGAAGCTATTAACAGCAAAGATTCTAAACTTTGGTTGGAAGTTATGCAAGAAGAAATGGATTCTATACTTAAAAACAAGACATTGGTTCTTGTTGATAAACCTAAACATTAAAAGATCGTTGACTGTAAATGGGTTTATAAGATTAAAGAAGATGAAGCCAATACCTTGGGAAAAAGATATAAAGCCAGACTTGTAGTCAAAGGCTTTACACAAAGAGAGGGTATTGACTATAATGAAATATTTTCACCTGTTGCAATACATCTATCTGAATCTTATTTGCCTTAACAACTCATGTTAATTGGGAATTAGACTAGCTTGATGTTAAGACTGCTTTCTTAAATGGTGATTTTGAAAAAACCATTTATATGCATCAACCAAAAAGTTTTGAATTGAAATCAAAATTTGAACATGTTTGTTTGTTAAAGAAATCTCTTTATGGCCTAAAACAGGCTCCAAGACAATGGTATAGAAGATTATTCTCTTATGTTCAGAATTTGGGATTCTCTAAAAGTAATTTTGATTTCTATTTTTTCTTCAAAGGGTCAGGAGGACATGAATCTGTTTATCTCTTGTTATATGTTGATGATATGCTTCTTACTTGTCAAAATAGATCTGAAATTGATTTTGTTAAAAATAAACTTAAAACTGAATTTGAAATAAAAATCTAGGGCAAGCTAGGAAAATTTTGGGAATGGAAATCAAAAAAGAAAGAAAAAACCGTATTTTGTATGTGAATCAAAATTCTTATATGAAGATAGTACTTGAAAAATTTGCTATGACTGAACGCAAATCTGTAACTCTGCCTATTGCAAACCATTTTAAACTTTCTAGTGACCAATCTCCAAAAACTGTTGAACAATATGATAGAATGTATAAAATACCTTATGCTAATGTTGTTGGCTCTATTATGCACCAGACCTGACCTAGCTCGTGGAATAAGTATTCTTAGTAGAGTTATGGCTAATCTTGGTGGAACACATTGGTTGGCTATTAAATGGATGATAGGGTATTTAAAGGGTTCAACTGATTTGGATTTAAAATTTCAAAGATGTAATGAGGGTGTTACTTTAAAGGGTACACAGATTCTGACTTTGCAGGTGATCTTGACAGAAGAAGATCTACATATTCTTATGTTTTTACTCTTTGTGATGGTTATGTTAGTTGGAAATCACACTTACAAAAAATTGTTGCACTCTCTTCCACAGAAGCTGAATATATAGCAGCTTGTGATACTGTTAAAGAAGGACTTGGTTGAGAGGTCTTTTAAATGAATTTGGTTTTGTAAATGAAGTGGTTAGGATATATACTGATAATAAAAGTGCTATTCATGATAGGACCAAATATGTTGACATCAAATTTCATTTTGTTAAAAATATGTCTGAGAAAGGTTTGATTAGTTTAATCAAGATTCCAACAGAATTCAATCCTGCTGATTTTGGCACTAAGGTGTTACCTTTAAATAAATTCAGAAACTGTTTAAAGATGCTGAATCTGATTGGAAGGTAATGAACTCTGTTAAGTTCTATAGTTACCTTATTCTTGTTTTTATCCAAATCTGATTGTTTTTCTTTTACAGGTATGATAGAGCAAATGAAACTAATAAATTGAGTTTGAATCCACAAAAGAGTACTCAGAATAGTTCGGCAATGTGGAGATTGTTGATTTGGGCTGCCTATCTATTCTGGTCTTTGGGTCTCTTTCTATTTTGGTGTTGGGCCTCTTTTGCTGTGCTGGATTGAGCCACCAATTTGCTGTTTAAATAAAGGTGTAATCTTGGCTTTACATTTGGCACATCTTGAACTGTTAGATTAAGTAATTTGAAGGGTTACCTTACAACCCTATTCTGGATTCTTCGTTTGGATGGTTCTTCACATTCTTGGGTTTTCTCTCCTATTCTTCTCTCTCGAGTGTTTTCTCTCTGGTTTTGTTTCTTGAGATCCTTTGGTTGTGATCTCTGTAATATCTTAATGATATTCTTGAGTGTATTGTGTATACATTAGTGTTGTAGAGTGAAAACTTGTATATGAGAGGCTAGAGGAAACTTAGTGAAGAAATTCGTTGTACTATTCTTTGTGATTCTTAGTAGATTTGAGCAACATCTACGTAGTAGATGCTCAACGGGTGAGTAGGTTTTAAACTGAACATCCGAGCCCAAAAAGGAGCAAAAATTCTTTGTGTTCTTTTCGATTCTGCAATTATCTTTCATTATTACTTGTTTGTGTTGTGAAACTTCGATTCTGAGACCAACATACATGTTAAGTGGCAGTGTCTTTTTATTTTAAAATGTTCTAGCTTTTATTAGAATACTTTTGACGAAATTTGTATTTTGCAATTTAAAACATGTGATCCAAGAGTTTTTTTGTTTAATACTTGTACACTTCAAATTTGAAGCATAGCACTATTCTTTGTAATAAAGATATAAGTTTTATTTGCTGGTTCATGTGTGGTTTGAGTTTTATTTCCATACGAACGAATTCTGTTTGATTTTGGAAGACGATTGCTTGTAACTTCGAATAAAGAAATCAAAAATATTTTAAGGAGAGATCGAATTCAATTGACTTCAATTATTTTATGATTACCTTGTAGATAAGGGTGGACGCAGAACTTTAACGTTGGGGGGCACAATCGAACTTGCAAAGAAGTTGAGAGAAATTTTACAATTAAAAATTTACGTCCAAAAAAATCATACTCCATGTCATTTTACATCCAAAAATTTAAATGGGATATGACTTTTTCGAATGTAAAATTTCGAAATTTTTTGAAAATTTCATAATAAAATGATGAAAATTATATTGAGAAATTTGTATCGC